TGCAAATATGAAAAGTTATAACTTGGGTTTTTACAGCATGCTGTACTCCAGGGAAGCTACCTGTAAAAATCAACATTAGTAGGGGTGGAGAGACTGTGCAGTATTTCACCATTCATCTTTCTCAACTGCCTCTTGTGACTTTTCTATCTGTTGCACAGTATTAACCTAGACTTCTCCCAGCATTGTTGTTGTTGTTGTTAGGTGCCATAGAGTCATTTCCGATTCATAGTGATCCTATGGACAGCACAACGAAACACTGCCCAGTCCTGTCCCAACCTCACAATCCCTACTATACCCGAGCCCATCGCTGCAGCCACCGTGTCAATCCATCTTGTTCAGGGCCTTCCCCTTTCTCCCAACATGCAAACCATTGATTTCCTTAGATACTTGGCAGTTAACCTAACCAGAAAGACCTGGTTTCCATGATCTGATTCAAAAGCCTCCTCTTATCAAGAGCATTTCTCTTGTCACCCCTCTCCCTGAAATGAACACAACAATCCCACCCTGAGTTTTCACTCTGCCCATGGTTTTAGGGCATAAAGGGGAGAGGAGGATTTGTTTTAAAGTCAAACTGGAGTGATCCAGTGCATTTAAAGATTCAGAGATGCTATTTTTAAACATCAGATTACAAAAGCCACTTTCTTTAAAAAGAATGATAGTCTACGTCCTTGATAATTCTACTCACAGAGTTGTTACAAGGATTACCTGAGAAAAGTATTTATCAAGTGCCAACTGCATATGGACATTGTAGGCATGTTACATACATTTCTTGCATTAATTAATTAATGGTTTTCAAACACTCTGTGCTCCTTGAGTAATTGCCCACTGGTCACCTTCTACTACCTACTAACACCCACTGCATCTTTAATGAGCATTGTTAAGTATAGAACACAGGTTACAAAACAGCAGAATGATCTGAATTTCATTTTCAAAAACTGCATATGTTATCATATTAGGTAGATAAAGAAAAAAATGCCAATATGTTATTAGTTATTATAACTGGATGGTTGATTTGGAGGTGATTTTCATTCTTTTTGTTTATCTCTGCATACACACACACACACACACACATATTTTACAAATGTGTGTGAATTAATTTTGAAGTAAGAAATGAAAACACTAAAAATGTTTTTATAACAAAAACAATCTAATATATCCAAAATGCTGTGTTCTCCCAGAGTTAAGTCTAACATTTTTCTCTCTACCCCACCCAAAATCCACTGCCATTGAGTCGATTCCAACTCGTAGTAGCCCTATAGGGCAGAGTTGAACTGCCCTATAGGGTTTCTAAGGCTGTAAATTTTTACGGAAGCAGACTGCTCATCTTTCTCCCATGGCCCAGCTGGTGGGTTCAAGCCAATTTGGTTAGCAGCCAAATGCCTTAACCACTGCACCACCAGAGATCCTTCTCTATACCCCAGTAGTCCCTAAACTGCAGCCTCAGCTCTGTTGTTGACACCCGAAGTTCACCCAGAGCAGACACCAAGGTAGAAATTGAAAGAGAAGCAGCTCCAGGCATGAGGAGTGGGAGTCAGAGGAGGTTCTTCCCAAGTCAACAGTCCTAGCTGTGTCACCTCTGAACTCTGAAGGCATCTGTTTCGACACAGGAGCCCTCTACAAGGCAAGACCTCCAAACTTATCCTCACCCCAAGGCATCATCCTCGAGGAAAGTGCCTCCCTTGTCCCCATCCTAGTTAGACCTCTTCTTCTAGCTGCTAATTCCTGGAGCCACTCCCACAAGAAGGCCAATCCCATGCTTGTGGTTAATTTGATCAGGTTTCAAAGTCTAAGCTTTTCTGGAATTCAGCACTTTGTGTGTGTGTGTGTGTGTGTGTGTGTGTCTTTCTCAACTTACAATAATGAAAGCTGGAGAGCAACATACTGGCCAATAGTGGCCACTGCCCTCTCCAGCTTTGGCAATAAATTCTGCCCAGCATATTACGAGCCAGGAAGCCTGGAGGTTTGCTCGGATTGCATTATCATAAATAGACCTAGGAAGCACAGGTAAACCCCGGAAAAGTTTTCAAAGTTACTCAACCTGACATGACAAGCCCCATCTCTGAAAATGCAGTAACTGCCCTTGCCAGCATTTTAATCCACATTGTGGGAGACAGTCTTGGCCAAATTAGCCCCAGGGCTCTCAGGCCCTACAGGGAGGATGGTTTGGGGTGAGCAGTCCCCAGCACCCTCCCTCACACCAAGAGTGGGCAGCCATGCAGGAGCCAGGCTGTGATAGTCACTAAGCAGGAACTCCCTAAAGGCATAAAGGCCAGGGGACTCAGAGGATAGGGCAGGACAATTCCACTCCTGCTTGTGTCACAAGCACCATGTGGAAACAAATGAGTTAACAAGCCCTATGACCACCTTTTGTAGCACTACTCTCCCATTCTGGAACTGGGGTGGGGTGATGAGTGTGACCACTGCAGTGGTCATAGAATCTATTGTCCAATAGAGACAATACAGAGTGAAGGGGGCACTATTAAGATTTATGCCAGGAAAGAGGTGTTAGACAGGAATGTGTCAGACAAGCCAGGACTTGTGGCCACATGAGAAAATATCTCCCACTCCTGTTGCCAGGCTAGAGGTCTGCTGCTAGGGTAGTGCCCTGCTGTCTCCTAGAATACATGCCCCTGAACAAAGTTTACTTGCCAAATTAAACCAAGGCCTCAGTCAGCAAGCTCCCTGGCATCCCAGGAAAAGAAGATGAGGAAACTCTCACAGAAGCCACAAGAATTGGGGCAGGAGAACAATGTGGAAGAAAACTCAAAATCATAAAAAAATAAATAAATAAAAGGGACCAGGTTTGCTTGTCTGATGGAGCCAGGTGGAACCCCTGAGACTATGGCCCCTAGCTGCCCTTCTGGTCTGGAATTGAACCCCCTCCTGTGGCTTCCAGCCAAACAAAAGACAGGCATATGAGCTGAATATTTACATTAGGTAGATACACTCCTTGGAGAGATAAATCTTGGGAGAATAGAAGGGCTGTGTATGCACAGGGACATAGGTCAGGGCGGTAGGAGTACATAGAGGGAAGGACACAGGGAGGAGGTAACTATAGAAGGGGAGCTGTTGCATTGTGGGAAATTGCAGTTGATTTCATGAGACAGGGTGTGTGTGGGCTGCTGTGTGCAAAGTGAATTTGCTCTGTAAATTTTCACCCAAATCACAATAAAAATTTAAAAAAAAGAAAAAAGAAAAAGAACTGGGGCAGGGCCCTCATCTGTCTCATCCATTGCTGTATCCCTGGGCTGAGAAGAGTACCTGTAGTAGGTGCTCAGAAAACATTTGTTGAAAACAGATGAATGCCTGAGTGGAGTTTCTAAAGTCAATAGGAGAACCCCAGGAAACCAGAGAGACTTGGCAATTGTAGGTAACATATAAAAGAGCTTGAAATCTACACTATTATAAAAGTCCAAGGAGCTCCTGTGGTGTAGTGCCTAAGGCATTTGACTGCTAACCAGAAAGTTGGCAGTTCAAGCCCACCAGCCACTCCATGACAGGAAGACTGGGCAATCTACTGCCATAGAGATACTTCCTTGGAAACCCAAAGAGGGTCACTATGAGTCAGAATCTACTTGATGGCAGTGAGTTTGGTTTTGGTTTGGTTTTTTAAGGTGAACTGAGTTTCTGTTAATAGTGGTGGAATATCTGGGAGAGAATAGCAAGAATGATTGCACAACTTAAAGAATGTAATCAATGCCATTGCATTGTACGTGTAGATTTGTTGACTTTTGGTGTATATTTCATTTTATATATTTTCACCACAATAAAAAAAAAAGTGAAAAAAAAAACTTAAGCCATTGTCTAGACTGCTCTCTGCATTTCCCTTTGATGAAGTTTGTAAATATGGAATGTACACAGCTTTAAAACACCAGATTGAACTGAAGCTATAAACATCTACAGATAAACTGATTAGAAACAAATTCAGCCACTGTTAAACTTCAGAAAAACTGGAACAATTTCTTGCAATGTTCCTGGTATGAATTCACTCAAAATTTTATTGGCCAAAATTGGGACTAAATCAAGCAACTACTTGCCACACACATCAGGATTCTTCTAACCTCATTTTCATTGTATTTTAGTTCAGGCCCTCTGAGAACTAAGAGGACATAATACAATTAGATTTACAGGAGATTTATTTGGGGAATTCTTGTGAAGGATAAAGGGGAAGGAGCAGGAGCAGGTAGGACAGGGGTGGGCCTTCAGACAGTGATGAAGGTTGGGCATCTGTGAAAGGAAAGAGGGAAGGAAGGAGGACTGGGAAGGAAGGAGGACTGGGTAGGAAGAGCCTCAGACTCAACCCAGTTCTAAGAAAGTTTCAGCCAGGCTGATGGAGAGTCCTGGGGCTGAAGTTGCTGGTAGAGAGTCCCACATCCCATAGGGATAGGGGTATCCCACGAATATCCCAATGTGTCCACACATTGGCTGGGAGCAGCCCCCAAGAAAGTGTGGCCTCCACACGAACGTGCTGGTGGAGCCAGAGGGGCAACAGCTGGCCTCTCAGTCATCTGTGCTCCCTGCAGCAGGAGCAACAGCACTTGCTCATGGCCACTATACACTGTGCTGGAAACAATATTGGCCCTGGAATGACTCTTGTTTTACTGTGACTCCAGTTTGGCTGCATGAAATTATGCCAGCTGTACATTGCATCCCAACAATAGACATGTTACTCCACTATGCCCCTCTTATCCTCCCAAGTGTTATAACTTTTAATGCCTACTCCTCAAGATAATATTTTTTCATAGACTATCAATCAACAAGTTTTCATTTACAAAATAGAAGCCTGCCCTTCATTTGAATGCTTCCAAAGAATCAAGCCCGTCCTAGGCAGCCCATGTGGCAGCTGTTTAGAGACACAGATAACAGAAGCATTTGGTCATCATTGTCCAGAATGAACTCCTTACGGGGTTAGGTGCTGAGTCCTTGTGCCAGTCTTAGTCAATCGGTGAGTGTGATTTTGATCCAGATGCCATCCAAGGGGGGCAAATATTAAACCACTCTTAACTCATACCGAGATGGAACAATTTCCGCAGAAAGGCTGGTCCTCCCCAGTAGCCCCTAGAAGAAATGACACAGAAAAGATATTTGCAGCAAAGCAGATGGGGTAACTTCAGCCAGCAGGATGTTGAAAGAGAAGCCAGGCTGTTCACAGAACATGCTTATCAGCACATAAATCAATATTTGTCTAGTGAGACAGAGGGATCCCGTGATGAGGAGGGATGGCCACTGCCAGCTGTTTTGGCACTGACTTGCTGAGTGAGCCCGGATGCTGACTCAGTCCTGCAAACTTGTGATGAGCCTGCACTACATGCAAACTGCTATCCTCTCAGCTTTCATTTGCTCAATGAATGTAGGTTAGGGTTTCTCAACCTTGGTGCTTTTGATATTTTGGGCTTAATATATCTTTGTCTGAGGGGCTGTCCTATGCCCTGCAGATGTTTAGTGGTATCCCTGGCTTCTATTCACCAGATGCAGCAGTAACCCCACCCCCAGTTGTGACAACCAAAAAATGTCTCTAGACTTTGCCAAATGTCCCCTGGGGGGCAAAATCACCCCTGGTTAAGAACCACTGGGACAGGTGTCCTGACCTGTCTGCCTCATAGGGGTTTGGCAAAGTGAAGTAAGATCATCATTTTTTTGCAATGAGGAGGAAGAATTAATTTAAAATGTTTATTATTCTTTATTGAATGCCCATGATGTCCTTGTCTTTTTTTAGGCTAACTCATTTAATCCTCACAATAATCCCATGAGGTAGGTGAGGTTACTTTCATTTTGCAGATAAAAAACAGAACCACAGAGAATTTAAGCAACTAGCCCTAAGAGTAAATGGCAGAGGCAAGACAAAAACACAGGTCTACCCAATTCCAAAGCTTATGGTCTTAATCACTATGTTTATGTTACCTGCAGTATAATAACAAATAACAAATAAAGTAACAGATAAGTAAATATTGACATGTGAAAAGTGATTATATGTATGTAATAATTATTATTTATTAATTAAACATTGTTTATGTATTAATTAATAAGATGTATAAGATGTTATTTATTAACTAGGAGCTCTGGTAGTATAGTGCCTAAGGCACTTGACTGCTAACCAGAAGGCTGGCAGTTCAAACCCACCAGCCACTCCTTAGAAGGAAGGTTGGGCAATCTACTTCTGTAGTGATATTGCCTCGGAAACCCAAGGAGGAGTCACTATGAGTCAGGTCCAACTCGATGGCACATAACAACAACATTTACTAACTATCATTACTTTCAGCATCTATCCAGGAGAATGAGGGCCAGAGCATGACTGGCAGTAGACTTGGGTCACTGTTGATAATGAGGAAAAGAGTCTGCTGGTTGGCATGCTACAATTCCCTTTCCTCACTCAGGCCAGCCCTCTTTCCCACTGAGCCTGACTGAGCCTTCGGAATCCTTCACAACCTGGAATCACTAACCCATGAGAAAATGCACAGCAAGGTGGGTCCCATTAGCCAGTCTTGCTTTAGGTAGAGCTTCCTCCTGAGGCTAGAAGGCCTCCTTGGCATGATCACACTGCACAAGTTGAAGCAATATGCTAGAAGGCATAGCCTTGGGGCTAGAAGGCTATACCAGGGGATGCACTTACCTGAGCATTATATTCCAATAGAGGAAAGGCATCAAGTCGGCCTTCATGAGGTACATGGAAAGGCGCTCTTTGCTCTGGTCAAAGGGGAATGTTTCCAGTGGCTGACCATTGTAGTCAAACTCTGCAAGAATCACACGGCTGTAGCCAGTCACCAGTGGGCATGATGTGTAGCCATCATACTAAAATTAAAAATAAGCCTGAGTTAGGAAGAGTGCTTATTTCATACTATTATATGTTGTTGTTATGTGCGATCAAGTCAGACCTGACTCATAGTGACCCCTTCTTGGGTTTCCATGGCAGTATCACTACAGAAGTAGATTGCCCAATCTTCCTTCTGAGGAGTAGCTGGTGGATTTGAACCGCCAGCCTCCTGGTTAGCAGTCAAGTGCCTTAGGCACTATGCTACCAGAGCTCCCATACTGTTATACAGATATGCTAAAATCTATTTCTCACTCTGAATGGTTCCACAATTTTTTTTTGTATATTCTAATTTTTTTTTTTTTGTAGTGAAATAGATAAATTATATAACAAAAAATAGTGGCAAAGGCAAAAGCTGAAGGTCCAAATTAGGGAAACTAAGCAAGCAAGTGGCAAAATCACAGGCAAATGCTATTTTCATGCAGAATTGAAGATGATAATTGAGAAAATGATCCTTAGAAGGCATGCATACCTTCTTCATTGGTGTTTGATTCTTCATAATCAGAGAAATTGTTCTATCAAGAATTCCTGACTGAGCAGCTATAAGAGAAATGGAAAAGTTAGAAATATCCAAGCATCTAAGTTTTCCATGGAAACTAATTTGCAAATAATTTGAATGTGAACAAGTTAAGGTTCCATTCATCATTCCTCTGGACTGTAACTAGAGCATGACTCTTCTTACTACTTGAAGTTTTGATTCCCAGAGCAGGTTCTTCACCAAATCAGTTTCAAACAGCTCACATAAAACTTCCCTGTGAATTTGAAACTGAAGAACCAGCTTTCTCCAACAGGAGAGCTGACAGTTTCAAATGAGAACATTAAATAAGAGTGGGCCTACCCTAACCCCACTCCCCTTCCTTCTGAGGTCACTCAGTGGTCTCTGTGACTGGTCTCCCTGCCTATCCAGGATGTCCCTATGTCCCTCTTCACAAACAGCCTATATTGGTAGCCCCAGTATATCTAATCAAGTAAAATACTGAGCTTTGGTCTGTAATAGACTGCCCTGGCTGAGGCTGAACCAAATAAATGTAAATACATAAACCCAATGCCACTGAGTCAACTCCAACCCATAGCAACCCTGTAGGACCGAGTTGAATTGATGCATAAGGCTTCCAAGGCTATAAATTTTTATGTAACCAGACTGTTTCATCTTTCTCCCATGGAGCAACTGGTGAGTTTGAACTGCCAACTTTTCATTTAGCAGCCTAGAGCTTTTAATCACTGTACCACCATTGCTCCTTATAACTATATAAAGAAATGTTTCTCTATTTATTTATTTATATACACAATACATACGTGTGTGTGTGTATAATTAAACGGCAAGAGTGAGGGAGACTGTCTTTTTTACAATAAAAAAAATTGAAAACTTATTATAATGAACTTTGTCATTCAACCCTGTCTTATGCTTCCCACCATACATATCCCTTTTGTTTTCTGGACTATGTTAGAGTAGACATCATACCATTTCACCCATAAATATTCCTGTGTGTCTCTCTGATAATGAATTTTTTTAACACAAAACACATAATCACACTCAAAATTACCAACAAAATTCTTTAATATCATCCAACCTAGTCTGTGTACAATTTTGACTAATTAAAACTGTTCTGTTAAAGATACAAGCAGTTGGTGGGACTGTAAAATGGTTCAACCATGTGGAAAGCGGTATGGCACATCCTTAAGAAGTTGGAAATAGAAATACCATATGATGCAGCAAACTTTCTGCCTCTCTGGGAACTTACAGGCCTTGGGATCTATACTGGGGAGACCTGAGGAGGCCCCTACATTCGAGTGTCAAAGCAGAGAGCAACCTGAAGAGGGCAGACCTTAAGAACAATAAAACTCAACTTCCAGATGTAAGGTGTATGTGTGGAAATGTGCATGAGTTGTTTTTCCTGGCATTACAATCCTGTTCTGTTATGCCTTGAGTCTCCTTGGTACAAATGATTAAACGTTTGACTGTCAACCTAAAGAATGGGGGTTCAAGTCCACCCAGAGGCCCCTCAGAAGAAAGGCCTGGTGATCTGCTTTGGAAAAATCAGTCATCGAAAACCCGATAGAGCACAGTTCTACTCTGACACAGCACATGGGGTCACCATGAGTTGGAGCCAACCAATGACAACTGGACGGGGTTTTTTTTTCTGTTATGCCCAAGCCTTCAGTTAACTTTTGTTAAATATCACATCTTGGTTTTGACTGTTGTTGGTTGTTGTTGTTAGGTGCCATGGAGTTGATTCTGAATCACAGCAACGCAATGGAAAATAGAACAAACCACTGCCTGGTCCTGCCTCATCCTCACAATCATTGCAATGCTTGAGCCCATTGTTGCAGCCACTCTCTCGATTCATTTCATTGAAGATCTTCTTTTTCATTGACCCACTACTTTTCCAAGCATGAAGCTCTTCTCCAGGGACTGGTCCCTGCTGACAAATCCAAAGTATGGGAGGTGAAGTCTCACCATCCTTGCTTCTAAAGAGCATCTGGCTTTACTACTTCCAAGATAGATTTGTTTGTTCTTCTGGTACACCAATGTATGTTCAATATTTTTCTCCAACATCCTAATTCAAATATACCAATTCTTCAGAAGTCATGACTGTGCTGTGGTCAATTAAGGGAGAACTATGGGGCAAAGACAGGCAGAGGAAGAAGCACGCACTCCAAGAAAGCCAACATGGCAAGACAGGGTCGCACTCACAATAGCATAGTGGTCTGGAGTGAAGGAAGATAACTGGCTAGGTGCCAGGTAAACCCAAGGGCAGATTCAAGGAACAAGTGTAAACATTTCCTATGGATGCTCAGAAGACTGAACAGTGAGGAGAGAGTGAGAAATAGGAGTAGCTCTGGCAGCGTAGTGCCTAAGGCATTTTGACCGCTAACCAGAAGGCTGGCAGTTCAAACTCACCAGCCACTCCTTGGAAGGAAGGTTGGACAATCTACTTATGTAGTGATACTGCCTCAGAAATCCAAGAAGGGGTCTCTATCAGTCAGATCCAACTCGACGGCAGTGAGTTTGGTTTTGGTTTTGCAGATCACTCAGGGAGAGCTAGGACTTGTTATGTAGACATAAAAGAGAAGAGCATATAAAGAAGAGCATTCATTGCACTACTGTTTGAAATAACAATGGGTTGGAAATAACCCAAGTACAAATTAAAAGTGCACTTGTTAAATAAATTTGAGAACTAGAGAATAGAATACAGATTGTAAAAACAGATGTAAAAAACCATGTGAACACTATGTCCTGAGATATATTAAGTGGAAAATGAAGCACAGAGAACAATGTGTATAATCTGCTACATTCTGTGTAAAAATGGAGAAAATAGAAATTTTCTGTTTGTTTGCTGGCATTTGGATAAAGAAATTCTGGAATGTTAAAAGAAGAAATTAAAATGGTGAATAATGCCAATATGAAGCAGATGGAAGGCATGGCTGGGAGGAAGACTTTTCCCATATAGCGTTTGGTCTAACTGTATCTAATACTATCTATTCAAAGCATTGAATTAAATGTGGGGTTTTTTTTTTTATTTTGTTTTGCTTTAAGTAGGCTAAAGGACATAATTCTTGGTAAAGTAGAGGATTGATGAAAAAGAGGAAGAACCTCAGCAAGATGGATTGACACAGTGGCTGCAACAATGGACTCAAAGACAGCAACGATTGTGAGGATGGAGCAGGGCTGGGCAGTGATTCACTCTGCTGTACACTGGGTCACTATGTGTTAGAAGCAACTTGAGGGCACTTAATAACAACAAAGGCTGGGTAACCTGGGCCTCACATACATCACAGGTATTTTTAGCACATACATTTAGCAGGTTTACATTGGTTGAAATGTAAAGTGTTCCAAGTACCACCCCACACACAGCTTATAATTTATAAAAAGAAAAGGCATTTTTATGATAGAGATAACCAGTGGACTGCTCCCCACTTTGACCCAGTGATGAAATCTAGCTTCACCAATAATGTAACAAACTGATTCAGTAGGTCCTAAGGTGATGCAGTGGGGGGTGCTGGCATTACATAGGGAGACCCTTGCCAAAAATAAATAACCTGACTCTGACCTGAGCAAACAACTGTTGTTGTTGTTAGGTATTATGAAGTCAATTTTGACTCATAACAACCCAATATGACAGAGTGGAACTGTCATATAGGGTTTCCTAGGCTGTAAATCTTTATAGGACAGACTGCCAGGTCTTTTCTCCCAAGAAGCTACTGAGTAGGTTCAAACCACCAGCCTTTGGGTTAGCAGCCAAGCACTTAACAATTGCATTGCCAGGGCTCCCTGAGAAAACAACTAGACAACTCCAAATTGTGGGATATTCTGCAAGGTAACTGGCCTGGACCCTCCAGAAGTATCAATGTCATGAAAGTAAAAAAAAAAAAAAAGTCATGAAGGTTGTTCCAGATTAAGAGACCAAAGAAATGTGACAATCAGTACAGAATGTGACCCTTGATTGGCTCCTAGATTTAAAGGGAAAGGGATACAAAAAGCATTTATAGGAAAACTAGAGAAATTCAAACTGAATTATGCATGAGATGGTTTTATTATACAATGTTCAATTTCTTTTGAATGATAATGGTTTTGTGTCATTTTTAAGAGTAAAACATCATGATGTCTAAACTTACTTTCAAAAGACTCAGCAAAAAAAATAAATAAAGTGAAGACACAAATGTTACAAAATACTAATAATTGGTTAATACCTAAACCCTTAGTATATGAGTTCTAGGAATCCCTGGGTGGCACAGATGGTTAAGCACTATACCACTAACCAAAAGGTTGGCAGTTCAAGCACACCCAAAGGCACTTTGGAAGTAAGGCCTGATGATCTGCTTCTAAAAGTTCATAGCCCTGAAAATTCTATGGAGTAGTTCTACTCTGTACACGTGGGTTGCAATGAGTCAGAATTGACTCAATGGCAACTAACAACAATGATATGGATATTCATTGCACTTCCTCTCAAATTTTTATTATGTTTGAGATCTTCTATTGGGGGAAATTACTATTAATAATGAAAAAGACATTCAGTGGGTTCCCTAGAAAGTCTGAGATTGAAATAGTAGGGAAAATAACATAATATACTCCACAGGTGTGTAGTTCACACAAAACGCTACCATACTTATCAGCAGGGAGGTCCATGTTTTATAGCGTCCAGAGGAGACAGCTCCTGTCTGTAGAGGACACAATCTAAAAGCCAATTCTCTCCATCACTGCTAGTGCAGAACATTAAGGTTAAGAATTTAGTTTTTCAGGCTGAGGCCTTTATCGTGTACCAGTCAGGACATGCTCCACTCACTGTATTTGTCTTAACAGAACAATTTTCTGGTCCACAAGCTTTCATTGACTTGCATGTGTTTTCTGGGAAAACAAATGCTTCCTTAGCTTTATGGCGGTTCAGGCAGAAGAAAAAGTCCCCCTGCCTGGCATGGAGGATGAAAAATGCAAGGGATGTGAGCATGACAATATGAGAAGTAGCAGAATTCAGATAGCTGGAAAAGTTGTCTTTCCTCTAATGCCCCTTCCCTTGAAAATAACCCCTCTGACCTAGAAAATGCAGATAAGACCATGCTACTCGGTGTACAGCACTGAAACAATACTTTCTTCTTCACACAACACTAGGATCATCAAGACTTCACTTCTGCATCAGGGAGGTCAAAGTTATTTTTAGAGCAGGAAATTTTCTTCTATTAACGGAATGCAATTAGTGCCGAACTTTTGTTTTTGTTACAATGGTGCCTTAGGGTGACATCATTTCGAGAAGGAGAGAAAAGTAGCTCTTTATCTTACCTACTGCAGCAGCAGTCTTTGATGTGGGAAGGTTGGTGCAGTCCCCAATCCCAAACACATTAGGGTATCTCTTGTGCTGCAGAGTTTCTTTATCTACATCTACCCAGCCAGCAGCATCGGCCACAGGACTCGTCTTGATGACATCTGGTGGGCCCATCGGTGGCGTGACATGAAGCATTTCATACTACACAAAAGGAGAACATCGAAATTTGTAGATTTTCCTTATTTCTTCAGCCCCACGAGTTCTCCTCCACTTTTCTTACCCTGTAGTATGTATTATGGCTACACTATACACTATTAGTGCTAATACTGATCCACACCCTTGCCAAGATCTTAAGTACTGCCAGGGAGTTTGATGGTAAAATAAGTACTCATTCTCTTGTGTGTAGCATAGTGGTCCCTTCAGCAGTAGGCAAGAGGGATCCAACAAGATACTGGTGAACCACACTAACATTCTGAAAGAATCCATTGATATTTCTGCTATTACTAAACTTAAGGTGTGGTATATTGCAGTTGCTCTCTTTCTGATCCTCAGCTATTGACTTGTGAAGTCTGATACTTCAGTTTCATTCTGAATAAAGGTCACCAGAGTTCCTAAAACATGTAAGTACCATGTTAAGAGCTGGTAAATAAACACCATTTCTAAATATAGGCCAACTCATAAGACACATAAAAGAAACAGCCAAAATACCAATTTAAAACAAAATAACAGGTATTGAGAAAATTGACTAACACTTTGCAGAAGGAAGAGAGATCTGATTTGTTCTGGGTCTTCCTAGAAGTGCAGGGTACAATGCTGGATTTTTTTATTTTTTTTTTCCAAAAAAAAAAAAAAAAACCCTATATCAAGGTTACCTTTGGCAATTTGCATTGACCCATCTTCATTGATTTTGACAGCTCATTTAAAATATTTGTTTCCTTATGTAATAGTCTTCTACTTTTTGTAGTTCTTTTTCAGAGGTTAAGCAGAGGCAGATTACCCAATAGGCAAGGTCAGCACAGGCTTACTTGTGCTTACTTACTAATCTGTAGTGAACAATTTCACATGGGTTTCACTGTATCTGTGTGGTTAAGAATTTAGTTTTAAAGAACTCTGTCTAGCAATCTCAAATTGCTGGTTGTCTACTTTGGGACAGACCACTAGTCTGTCAATCTGTCATACTGTGGTAACTTGTGTGTTGCCATGAGGCTGGAGGCTATGCCACCAATATCTCAAATACCAGCAGGGTGAACCATGGTGGACAAGTTTCAGTAGAGCTTCACACTAAGTCAGACTCAGAAGAAGGAAGGGGCCATCCAATTTTGAAAGAACTGGCCAGAGAAAACCATATGAATAGCAGTGAAATACTGCCTGATATATTACTGGAAAACTTTATGAATAGCCCTGAAACAATGTCTGATATAGCTCCAGAAGATGAGTCTCTCGTGTCAGAAGGCACTCAAAATACAACTAGAGAAAAGCTGCCTCCTCAAAGTAGAGTCAACCTTAATGACATGTATGTAGTAAAACTTTTGGCACCTCCATTTCCTGATGGGGCAAAACACAAGATGGGAAGAAACAACTGCAAACAACCATTAATAATGAGAATGTGGAATATAAGAAGTATGAATGTAGGAAAATTGGAAGTTGTCAAAAATGAAATGAAATTCATAAAAATCAATATCCTAGGCATTAGTGAACTAAAATGGACTGGTTTTGGTCATTTTGAATCAGACAATCATATGATCTACTCTGCCAAGAATGACAAATTAAAGAGGAATAGTGTTGCAGTCATCATCACAAAGAATGTTTCAAGATCCTTCCTGAATGGGAGAACAGAAGGGCTATGTATGCACAGGGAGACAGCTTAGGGGACAGGAGTGCATGGGATGGAAGGACACAGGGAAGAAGTGGCCATGGGGAGGAAGTGGGAGCAGAGCTGTTGCATTGTGGGAGATTACAATCAATATCATGAGACAAAGTGTATGTGAACTGCTATTTGGAAGATGAATTTGCTCTGTAAATTTTCACCCACATCACGATAAAACTTGAAAAATCAAAACAAAACAAAAGATCCTTCCTGACAATGATGTCAGTGATGGGACAATATCCATATGCCTACAAGGAAGACCAGTTAATACTACTATTATTCAAATTTATGCACCAACCACCAAAGTCAAAGATGAGGAAATTGAAGATTTTTACCAACTTTTACAGTCTGAAATTGACCAAGCATGCAATCGAGATGTATTGATTATCATTGGTGACTAGAATGCAAAAGTTGGAAAAAAAGAAGAATCACTAGTAGTTGGAAAATATGGCCTTGGTGATAGAAATGATGCCAGAGACAGCATGATAGAATTTTGCAAGACCAACAACCTCTTCATTGCAAATACCTTTTCTCAACAACATAAATGATGGCTATAAACGTGGACCTTACCAGATGTAATATTCAGGAATAAGATCAACTACATCTGTAGAAAGAGGCAATGGAGAAGCTCAATAATTTCAGCCAAAACAAGACCAGGAGCTGACTGTGGAACAGACCATCAGTTGCTTGTATGTTCAAGTTGAAGCTGAAGAAAATTAAAATATGATCTTGATTATATCCTACTTGAATTTAGAGACCATCTGAAGAATAGATTTGACTCATTAAACACCAAATGCCGGAAAACCAGATGAATTGTGGGATGACATCAAGAACACCATCTATGAAAAAAGCAAAAAGTCATTAAAACAGGAAAGGAAGATCAAAATGGAAGTTAGAACAGACTCTGAAACTTACTCTTGAATGGAGAGTAGATAAAGCAAATGGAAGAAATGACAAGATAAAGATAAAAGAACTGAACAGAAGATTTCAAAGAGTAACTCGGGAAGACAAAATCAATCACCATAATGAAATGTGCAAAGACCTGGAGTTAGTAAACCAAAAGGGAAGAACATGCTCAGTATTTTTCAAGCTGAAAGAACTGAAGAAAATTTCAAACCTCGAGTTACAGTATTGAAAGATTTGATGGACAAAATATTGACTGATATAAGAAAAATCAAAAGAAGATGAAAGGAATGCACAGAGTCACGGTACCAAAAAGTGTTGGTCAGTGTTCATCTATTTCAGGAGGTGGCATATGATCAAGAACCAATGGTACTGAAGGAAGAAGTCAAAGTGGCACTGAAGGAATTGGCAAAAAACAAGGCTCCAGGAATTGATGAAATAGTCATAGAGATGTTTCAACAAAAGGATGCCACTCTGGAGGCACTCATTTGTCTATGCCAAGTAATTTGAAAGATAGCTACCTGGCCAACAGACTGGAAGAGATCCATATTTGTACCCATTACAAAGAAAGGTGATCCAACAGAATGTGGAAATTATCTAACAATATCATTAATATCACACAGAAGTAAAATTTTGCTGAAGATAATTCAAAAACAGATGCAGCAGTATATTGACAAAGAACTTCCAGAAATGCAAGCTAGGTTCAGAAGAGGATGTGAAATAGGGATATCATTTTTGATGTCAGATGGATCTTGGCTTAAAGCAAAGACTACCAGAAAGATGTTTATTTGTGTTTTATTGACTATGCAAAACAATTTGATTGTATGGATCATAACAAATTATGGACTTGTAATCTTCAATCATCAGTAAGTGATTCAAATCATCTTCACTTTCAGCAAGCAAAGTTGTGTCATCTGCATATCACAGGTTGTAAATGAGTTTTCCTCCAATCTTGGTGCTGCATTCTTCTTCACATAGTCCATCTTCTTGGATTATTTGCTCAGCATACAGATTGAATAGATATGGTTAAAGGATACAACCCTGATGCACACCATTCCTGATTTTAAACCATGTAGTATTCCCTTGATCTGTTTGAATGACAGCCTCCTGGTCTATGTACAGGTTCCTCATTTGGTCAATTTCAGACTGCAAAAGTTGGTAAAAATCTTCAATTTCCTCATTTTTGGCTGTAGTGATTGGTGCATGAATTTGAATAATAGTAGTATTAACTGGTCTACCCTGTAGGCTTATAGATATTATCCTATCACTGACAGCATTGTTCTTCAGGAAGGATCTTTGTAATGATGACTGGGACACCATTCCTCTTAAATTTGTCATTCCCAGCATAGTAGATCACACGATTGTCAGATTCAAAATGGCCAAAACCAGTCCATTTTAGCTCACCAATGCCTAGAATATTGATCTTTATGTATTCCATTTCATTTTTGGCAACTTCCAATTTTCCAACATTTATGTTTCTTACATTCCACATTCTGATTATTAATGGATACATGCAGTTGTTTCTTTCCATTTTTGAGTCAAGCCCCATCAGCAAATGGAGGTCCCGAAAGCTTTACTTCATCCACATCATTAAGGTCTACTCTACTTTGAGAAGGCAGCTCTTCCCTAGTTGTACTTTGGGTGCCTTCCAGCCTGTGAGGCTTATCTTCCAGCACTGTATCAGATAAGTGTATGGATTATAATGCAACATAAAGATAACAAAAATTCTCACAACTGGACCAATAAGCAGCATGACAATAAATGGAGAGAAGACTGAAGTTGTCAAAGATTTCATATTACATTGATCCACATTCAACACCACTGGAAACAGCAGTCAAGAAATTAGACATTGCATTGCACTGGGAAAATCTGCCGTGAAAGACCTCTTTAAGGTGCTAAAGAGCAAAGATGTCTCTTTGAAGACTAATATGTTTCTAACCCAAGCCATGGTATTTTCAAAAGCCTCATATGCATGTGAAAGCTTGACAAAGATTAAGGAAGAGTGAAGAAGGGTTGATGCTTTTAAGTTGTCATATTGGTGAAGAATAGTGAAAGTACCATAGACTGCCAGAAGAACTAACAAATCTGTCCTGGAAGAACTACAGTTGGAATGCTCCTTGGAAGCAAGAAAGGCTAGAGTTGGTCTCACCTAATTTGGTCACATTGTCAGAAGGGACTATTCCCTGGAGAATGACATCATGTGTGGTAAAGTGGAGGGTCAGCAAAAAAGGGGAAGACCCTCAATGAGATGGATTGACACAGTGGCTGCAATGATGGGCTCAGGTGTAGCAAGGATTGTGAGGGTGGTGTATGACCAATCAGTATTTTGTTCTGTTGTACACAGGGTCACTATGAGTTGGAGCCAACTTGAAAGCAGCTAACAACATGTAGTGATTTCAATGTCATGGTTTGGGATAAATTGATTCAAGTG